GTCCCTAGGGACCTTGTACAATTTTAGAAGAAATAACAAGTTACTTGTCTTCATGTTTCGATTTTTTTTTCACTTGTTCTTCAAATTATTTCATTCCTAATATATATGCAGGACATACATAAAAGACAACATAAATACCAAAGAAGTTGCACATGTACAGTCGAAACATCGAGCAACTCTTTGTAGGTCCCTAAGGACCTTCTCACGAATCTAACGTCATCGGCACAGTCACTCATCGGAGGGTTAAACTAATATAAAACTAACTACTATTTATCGAATAGTTTTATTATACATATTTTCTTATTGGATTTTTAATATTTTACGCGTTTTTATAAGTAATGTTTGAAATTATGCCATCTGGCTCCTCAGTAATAGATCGGAACAAACAAAAGCAAAGGCAAAAATCCATTTCCAGGGAAAGGGAAGTGACTAAGAAATCAAGATTAGAAGATAATTCAAATAAAAATTAATCTTATATTTTCATAAAGCCTCTTACTTTATCATCATCATCATCTATCAATCCACCAACAAATCAAACCACCAAGATCATCAATGAACCTACTAAAGATTTTCCCAAATGAATCCAATAAGGAATATTATTTTTATGACAAAGATTGTAAAGGGCCTTTTATTGTATGTATTGACACCAAACCTAATCTAGGAGGCAGAAAACCCATTACCGCTATTATGATAACAAAATTATTATCAAAATTAAATTATATCGATGTAGAGGACGTATTACCGTGCACATTAGCGCGATACGATATGCGATGCGATATGCGATACGATACGCGATGACGCGATGCGATATGAAATGCGTGCAGTGCACATTAGAGCGATGCGACATGCGATGCGACACGCGATACCATTTTGTGATAGCTGCACAAACTTTTGTGCCCTTATAAGCTTGTTAATGAGTTAAATAAGTTGCTTCTCAACCGAGTTTGGACCTCTCCATGATATAAAAAAGAAGGTAGTTTCATTTAATGGCATTCGTTGTTGTTAACCATTTGACTTTTAATAAAATTATGACATTTCATTAAATTCATGCTACCTGATCACGAGCAGTAATATTTTTTTTTTTTTAAGCAGAAGATTTCATCAGTCCACTCAAAGATGCCGAATATGATGAATCTGAAAATTAATGCATAATCTCCAAAATGGGGTTGACGAAACTAGGTTTCAGAACGGATGAACAAAGTGATCAAAATTATACTTATGCTAATTGCTTATCGGAGGGCGTTATGCGCAAGCCGAGTTCAAGTTTTTTGCATACATTGGACACTTTAAATTCGAAATTTGTTGAAGTTAATGGTGATACGGTAACCACAAAGCCTAATTTTTCCCAAAATCTGATGAGAAATTTAAAAGTAAATTTCCACGAATTTCATCACGAATCACGAATTTCATATGAACAAATATTCCCAAAATTATAAAGTAAAACTAAAATAATTTTTCCCAATTTGTTTTTGTTTTGCATGTTAAATTATGAGAACAATTTATTCACATGAAATTGGCGACTATAAAAAGATTTGTTTGGAAAGAGAATTTTTAGAATTAGATTTTTAAATTGCAAGATTGCATACAAAATAAGACAAGTAGTTTTTAGCAAAAAAACCGACTTCAACTCTCATATATAAAAAAAAAATATATATACAGTATTGGACATATCTATAGCACCCCCCTTTCAAAGCGATATTGTTTGCCACTTATGTTTAATTATTAGTTTTTAAGAATTTTCAATTAAAGTACAGTTCATTCTCTAACTAAACCCATGTAAACCAATGTTTTAAACTTTTTAAAAGACCGCAAAAAAGTGCAACAAACTTTCCCTTAAATTTCAAACTTTTTTCTCAGAAGCTCTAGAATTTTTTTGAGTACACAGTTTTATAGCGCATTCAATTTTGTCCAATAACGTGGAAGTTTCAAGTCGCTAAAGATTTGATTTTTATATTTCTTTTTTGTCTCATTTGCTTCCATACAACGACTAAACACAATTCATTTTTATATGGCAGAAACCGCAACATCCTCGGCGAAAAATATTCTAAAAAATCAACGGTAATTTTTAGCCACTTGAAACTTGCACATTATCAGGCTAAAATTGAATGGGCTATAAAACTGTGTATTCAAAAAAATTCTACCGCTTCTGAGGAAGAAGTTTGAAATTCGGGTGAAAATTTGTTGCACTTTTTTGCGGTCTTTTAAAAAGTTTTAAACTTGAGTTTATGTGAGTTTTGTGAGAGAACGAACTGTATTTTAATTGAAAATTCTTAAAAATAAATAAATAAACATGAGTGGCAAACAATATCACTTTGAAATGGGGGTGCTATTGTATTGGCAAATACTGTATATCTCATGATCCACTGATCGGATCTTAACCAGATTAGTATGGAACCACCTCTGAGACACTACCTTTCCGATGCAAAAGAATTAATTTAAGCTTAGGTGGAAGGTTCTACCACCTTTTGTTTAATTGCGGCAGGGACTCAAACTTCGCCAAAAGTCAAATTTTACTGCTCAATAAATGACTATAAGTGACCATAAATTCAATGTGCAGGAATGGTATTTTCAAGGATAGTAGTCGAGGGTACTTGCTTTAGTCTAAGCCTAAGTGGAAGGTTCCATCACCTTTTTACTCTTTGCTAGAGCTTCTCAAATATTGCAAAAGCCCGATTTTTTGACACTTTGACCTCGATTTTCTCAAAACCTGCACGTGTTGGATCCTTTGTACTTACGGATTCGTAATCAGCACAAAAAAGTCTATCAAAAATAGCTTGAGCATTTGTCGCACCAACATTTTTTTCATTTTTGTTGGCCTGTGTTATTTCAGAATATTGCTTTCACTACAAGGAGAAATCGATGAAAGCTGAATTAAAAAAAAAAGGTTAAGCAAACATTTTTAAGTTGTATAGCCAAAATATTATTTTTCTTATGAAAGGTTGAATAACTTTACCCCGATTTTTTAAAGTAAAAATAACTATATATTAATTTCTAATTTTGCATCAATTCAGGAGTAGTATAGTTGCTTTATAAAATAGTGCGTGAAAATTTTGCGAAATTTTAAAAAGACGAAAAAAATGAACAAAGAAAATACACACAGATCTCTTAAGTTTTCTAAAAGTTTATATACATATATCATTCGAAAAGTCTAAACTCGGTATATAGTCAACTGAGTTACAAGCTTATAAGTGCGGAAAACTGGTTTTGAACAGTAAATCAAGATTGTGT